TGTTGAGTGTAATAGCCCATTTACACTACCCTCGAAAAACCAATCCATGCCAAGACCGGTCAGAGCTCGGATCGGTTAACCAGGCCGAGCTCGGTTCTGACGACCGTTTACACATCACGCTATCTCGGTTCCTCGACTCGATCTGCAGTATTACTGCCAGTATTGAAGGAGGAAATCAAGCAGTTGGTGGCGGTAATGCACCAAAAGTTGTTTGCCAACCGCCATAAAACACAAGAAGAAGAAGAAGAAGAAGGATGGAATCAAGCAAATCAAAATGCCGGCGCCCGTCAATTCAGAAAGTTATGCTTAATTATTATTGCTGTACTTCGGTGTTATTGTTTAAAATGCCATTATTTTAAATGTTGCGTGGAGAAGATTTTGATTGTTGTTTATAGTTGAAAAAGAAGCTATTCTTCTTCTTCTGTTTCCGGAGGGGCATTACTGCCAACTACTGGAATGGAGTGTGAATCGGGATGTGCAGCCAGGCGGAGATGACGCGTTCTGCTCATGCGCTCTTGTTATCGGAGAACCGAGCCAGGGAAAAACCGAGCCTAGCCCACCTCTGGAACTGGTCTGCAGTTAACGCGGTCCGATTGTGTCTAGCTCGGTTCAGTTCAGTTTGCTTTCCATTTACACACGATAAGTTATTTCAGTTACTGAGCTCGGACCGGTCTCGGCACGGTTTTTCAAGGGTAGTGTCAATGGGATATAAATGGCACATACAACCGAACCGGACCGCTCCAGACACAACCGAACAGTGCTAACATGGTACTAGTTCATCAGTAGGGCTCGGAGCGGTTCAGTTGGCTTGGTTCTCCGATAACATAAGAGCGCATGAGTAGACCGCGTCATCTCCTTACAGTCAGCCTCCGTATTTATGAAATTTCAGACATTCATAAAAATACAAGCTTCCCTACCACGCCATACGATTTCTATAGATGACTGGTGATTGGGATGCCATTTTTCAGTGACACTGAATGTTTTAATCATAGATCTAAAGCTTTCTTCATTTTTTGTACTGTAGACATAATTAGGGCTGGGTAAAAAAAATCGATTTTGGATCGATTTCTTTACATTTTTGCAAAGGATGTGTAGGAAATGAGAGCGATTAGTTTTATAGTGACACGTGTGACGTTCACACTCAAAAGAGCAGGCATGTGCAAATGCCAACCAAAGTAACACACCGCTCAGCAAGCTGTCCCAACTGAAGTCTAATGTCTGGAACCATTTTTGATTTAAAACGGCTAAAGATAGTAGGCTGGATATGTGGCATTAAGGTGACTTCCCACTGCATTGATAATGAATGGCGCTTCGCATCTCGTGCTACAGACCACCAAGATGACTTCAAGCCAGACAGCTGCAAATATAGCCAATAGGTTGACTGAAGACATTAACAAATGGGGGCTGACCAGCAAAACACCCTGTAGTTGTTACAGACAACGCTGCAAATATGGTTTGTGCAGGGAAGATAATGCAGCTCATGCATGTCTGCTGTGTCCCTGCTGTTTAACGTCTGCTCGCTCATGTGAGGCTTCACTTTTTCACTTTTCACAAAGTTTGCACTTTTGAGACAGTTTTGTTCACATCTCAAATTTAAACTGTCTAATTTACAAGTTTGAACTTTGTGTTTAATATGACAGAAAAAATTTAATACATGAGTATTTTGAAACACAGTTGAACCACTTTCCTTATTGTAAAAACAGATAAAATCGAAATTACTCGATTTAGAACTGTATGAATCAAAATCGAATCGATTCAGGACTTTGGCGAAAATACCCAGTCCTAGCCATAATAACTCCAGCCTTATATTTCCGAGGGTAAAACAGGAAGTTCTCAAATATCACAATATGGGAAACATGCTCATCATAGCTGGTTTACCAAGACAAAGGAGTCCCTATTAAGTTGAGGATTGGAACATAAACGGACGAAAAATCTTGAGCTATGCCTTCCTCCATTCTGCTAACTTATAAATAATACATCAAATCATCTGGTATTTCAACTCATATTCCAACTAAAATTGTTGGTTCTAAGACAGATATTGCAAAACTAAAATGAAAAAACAAAAATGTCACCCAACTTATACAGTCGAAATGTATCAAGTCCTTTTGGGGTGAGTTACACTTTAAGTGGCTTGTATGTGTTTTTATGTGTATATTTATTAAACCATTAGTGTAATTATGTGGAAATGTGTGTTGATTTAGTTGTTGTCAAAGAAGAAGTGAGAAAATATTTTTTTTCTATTCTTTTCTAATATCAATTGGGTGCTGAGATGTGTTTCTATGGTTCCTCGGTTGCACCAGTTCCAGCTGCTGATCTGTCTGCATGGCTACCGCTAGCTTCAAAACGTTCCGTTCTAATAAATATCACCCTTTGGTCTCTGTCAAGAAGGCCCAGAGTCGTTCCAGGCAGCTGAGAGCGTATGGTTTGGAGCTCGCCGTGAGAGGAATCAGTGTTGTAAACCGATACGACTGCCCAGCCATGACCTCAGACTCTAAGCATGAAGTATTCTGGGTTTGATGCAGGGGTTTTAAAGCCCGGCTTTACAGGATAACTGAGATTAATGATCATTTGTCCCGGTGGAAAAGGAAAACAGAAGGCCCTGAAAGGGATAGGTTGCTTTGCAGTCTCCATATATCAGATAACAGCCGGTCAGTTGTCTTCTACGAAGGCCATACTGGCTGCGATCATAACCTACACGACTCCTAAAGGCAACACCAACCTTTAGCTTGATAGAGGCATTTGATGTATTTATTTCACTATGAATTTCTGATGCTTCTAAAAACTTTTGTCCACCTTTCATTCTTTAGCCTCTGCCCTTTCGGCAACAGATGTTCTCAAGCTGTTCGCCAAGGACTTCTGGCCCTGTGAAGCAGACTCACGTCACCCGGACGGCAGGTGGTCTGCAACAACAAAGGTCTCCTCAGATATCCCTGGAAGTATCGGGAGGGTGGTCCTACTCCATCCCTAGGGGCTGAGCTGTCAGCAGGCTAGTGATAATGACTGCCCCCCCAAAACCATGTCCTGTCCATTAGCTTTAACTACTAGGAACCTAATGCGATTGTAACACTGAGGAGCTGCTGCACCTGCTGCATCCTACCCTGCATTTAAAGTAAAGGCCTAAAACACAGAATTGATGGGAGAAATTATGACGTTTTAGGTCACAGACTCATTTAGACACACTGATGGGTATAAAACATTGCAGATATATAATCTAAATGAGCCCTGAGTGTTTAAGAAGCAATTTAAAACTCAAAACACACAACTGCAATGAATAAAAAATAGCTCCACAATTATCAGGTATAAATGTTTGGAGCACTTTCACAGCTGCTTTAATTTAAATACTCTGTCTCAGAATTATTCAGACAGGCAAAAACTGATGTCAAAATTTTTTATTTTAGATGAAATATACAGTATATTATATTTGGGGGGGAACAAAGTTTCATCTAAGACTAATTCAAATTTTCTCACAAAGAAAAATTTATGGCAAACACATTTAAACATAATTCTTTGGTTATGATTCTCAAACTTTCGCTCTTGGTTTAATTTTACACTTTCAGGTTTAACTCCGGTTTAACTGCTGGGAACATAAACATCCTGGGTGGGGTTTTAGCAACAATTACAAACTAAATTATTAAAATTCCGAAAGTTTTGACTAAAATTTTTTTTTTTTTAAAGATTAGTTTTAAATAATTAATTTCCACATTCATGCCTGCCTTTAATTACTTAAACTACATACAGTTGCAGATTTGAAAAACATCCCCACTGACTCAAAGTTGACAGTTCTCACCTGCAACTTCCTCAGATTAAGACACCCTTTGAGGTTTTTATCATTAACTAATCAGATGAATCTATTGAAATAATTGATTAACTGTAGTATAGAGACTAAAACAGACCTTTAGCTGAGCAGTTTAGCTTAGAGCAGTAATAAAGTTGTTAAAAACTTTGCATTAATTAAATCTTAGACCTCAAAGTGGAAAATCTTTGGCAGATTAATTGATTTGCAATATAATAGTTGCATTCCTAATTTGCATTGTTCATGTTTCTCAAATAGTTTTTTTTAAACAAAGGAAGCAGCGGAAAGGCAGAAGACCGTGGCAATTGTAATTTATTGCATTTAAGCAGATATACCTGTTCCAGGTATATCTGCTTAAATGCTTAAATGAATCTTGATATGGTGAGGTACTTGATTTCAAAAACTTAAATCTGAAAGCAAAAAGTTTGCAACTTAATTAGCTGCACATTAGGACCTGTACTTAAATGCATCATTGCATGGAGACCGCCAACTTTATAGCCCTGAGATATTGCAAGTTTTAACCTGCCTTGGATGAACATTTTGCCAAACTGGCTTTCAAAAAAAATTAAATAAAAAAAAACCCAATTCTGTGAAGAATCTTTAAAATTGTACATCTAAAAGGATTGTAAATCTCACTCAATACCCAATGCTCAAAGTGTGGCCCTGGCAATACATGGCCCTTAAGGGTGATGGGAAGGCAACTAGGATGCATGAGTTCCATCATTTATCAAAGTCTGTTGAGATTGTACACAGGTTTAAGACATTGGGCAAAGCATGCTACATATTAGCAAAAGCAGCCAAAAATGCAGGTGAAGTGGAAAACATGGCAGTTTTGCACAAGTTTTAAATATTTTCCCCTAGGTTCTCCTCATTTCCTCCAGAAAAGAGGAGTTTAAAGGCAGGCGTAGTTAAACCCCGAGAGCCAGGGTATTCCTGGGATTATTTTGCAAATGGTTGTGTGTACATTCTAGTAATTTTTCCCTAATTCAGAAGACTTGTCTGAAACTTTAATTGATAGTTTAAACTGGATTAGACTCTAAAGATCTTTAATCACTTCCCTTAATTTTCAAAACTTTAGGTATTGCTTCAGATAAGGACTTCAGCCCAGTTCTCTACATTGGAGATAAACTTTAATTACCCCCTCCCCACAGGAGGTTGAAAAATGGTCTTACACTGTCCTCTAGAGGAGACCAAGACTCAAGCAACATTCTGGCAATAAACCATTTAATAGAAGTTTGAAACATCACATTCAATATAAAAGTCAAATAAAAGTATTGCTGTACATTTTACAAAAATGTCACTCCAACATAAGTCTTAAAACAGTCAGTGGACATAACAGACCATCCTGAAGTTGTGCCACAAGCCTCGAGGTTCTGTATTCAAGTGAAACATGCAAGTTTTCAGTTGGCTTGCAAACTGTGCATCATGGATGTAGATAGTGTACTGTAGGGAGACAGCCAACTGAATTAGGATCAATTTAGGAGCTGGGTCACAACTTTAGTATAGTCACTTCAGGCATAAAATTCTCCTCGGTTGAACGAGAGTCCAACAAAAAATGTCCAGCTGCATTTAAAAGTCTTTAAAAATCAAAATTACTGTACAAAAGCCAGCACTGTGTGCTGCAGGTAGTCCTCACAGAGCAGCCTGCTTCGCAAGATCCTTGACCACTGATGACTTGAGCTGAGGGATGTTTGCGATCCTCATCTGCTTTGAGGTGGAGTATTTACCTTTGACGGTCTGCAAGATGGTCAACAGGTCAGTTTGACATCCAAACAATACAGAGCTGAATTATCCAAGGTAAGAACTTACCATGTGCTTCGTCAGGCCCTCGTTCACTTTAACCACGTTTTTGGCAATGTGCGCCATAACAGGAATCAAACTCTCTGCTGTGTAGTTCATGTAGTGCTGCAGAGTTATATCCTGTATGGTGACAAAACTAGTTCAGGTTTTGGGCCCTTAGATCTAGCTGAAAGAATAAGACGACAATGCATCTATACATACCCACTCTCCTGCATCCAGGACCTTCAGTGTGAGTGCCAGAGCAGCACTGGCAACCATAGAGGGAGGCATGTGAACCATCTCGTAGTCGATCATGCTGAGCTCCAGGAGGTATTTTGCCAGGGTGTGCTGCTCCGCCGTTACCTGAGGAACAGAGAAACGGCTCAACAGACCTGCCTGCGCAACACAGGGTGGTACGAAGAGCTGCCACAAACCTCGTAGATCTTTGAGGCCCGTCTGAGGAACTGCAGGGGCACGGGACGGCCGAGCTGGAACTTCAGCACCCGCAGGATGGTCATCTCCATGTCTCTGATCTGGGCGGTGGTGTAGGCCTGGTCAGTCACGTAGGCGAAGTCTGAGATCTCTGGTGGGTACATCTCTTCATACTTTGAGGCGAGGAACATGGCCGTCACTCCAACCAGCTGCAGCTGCTTCTTGGGGACTGGATGGTCCTGTTTGAAGCACGACCAAATTAACCATTATTAAGAGTCGTTTTTTTATTGCCGTGCTAGATGAGTAGGTTTATAGTTACCTGAAGAAAGCGATCAATAATCCCTACGGTCATGTACATCGTCTCCTGCAGGAGCCGGAACTTAATGCTGACTTGAACCAGCCAGTCAATGAGGATGGCCCTCATGTTACTGGTGACCTCCTGACCTTGCAGGTAGGTGGGCCTGACGTTCTGTTCAACCTGCGAGCAGACACTCAGGTTTAACTGCTGTCAGTTTAGACCAAGTTACTCCAGTTTAGTTTCCCCCTCACCTCAAGCTGACGGAGATACTTGTAGATGTCCTTCACGTACTCGCTGCAGAGCATGGGGTTATCATAGTCGTCTGCGTCAACGTCCCTGACAGCGGCTTCGAGGATAACGTCTGAAAATGCCTGACAGAGGTCAGCAGGCTCACAGCCAGAGGTCTCCATTGGGGTGGGAGACATAGTCACAGGTGGAACCTTGAAGAACAACATTTTTATTTATCAATTGATCTCACATTGGAGAAATGTACTTCTGTATTCAGCTCATCCACTTGGGGAGCAGTGTGGGATTATGGGTCTTGCTCAGAGTGGCAGACAGGAAGTAGGGCTCAAACTCAGAACCTCGGGTTTCCAAGCTTTATGCCCACTAGGCCACCACTCCCCACCATTCATGCCAGTCTGCATCAGTAGCACTTCATGGTCTCCAGCACATCGTGAACTCACCGGCACTTCAGGCACTTTCTCAACAGCAACACTTGGTTTGGGCCGCTCGGCCTTCTCGTCTTTTTCAGCGACCTTTTTCTTCTTGGCCACCACATTCTTAACGTTCTAAAAGAAGTGGAAAGATAAGCACACTGCATTTAATCACAACCCCCACCTCCAGAAATCTTTAACACCCAATAAACCCTAAAAGCCAACTTCCAACTCTAATTTCTTTGCCACATATTAGGTATTTTAGCCTTAATGAGAAACCTAGTTGCTGTAACCTTTATAGATGCCAAACTGTAGGAGTGTGAAGTTGCAACAAAACTGTAGGGAAATGCAAGGGGGCAATTCAGAACACATACATTTTATTTTTTTATTGAAATTTCTAGACTAACCTGTTTTGAAAAAAGTTCTGTTCTTATCAATTGTTTACATTTGAAAGATAACAGCATTTGCTGTAGACTTGCATGCCTACCCTAACATTCCAGGATAAATTAGTTTGCCCACACCCTTTATTAGGAAGCCCAGAAATAGAAACATTCTGATATACATACGTATATATATATATATGGCCCTCCATCAGGTTTATTTAACATCTCAGTCGACTTTAATGGTTGATAAAAGTGAACACACATTTACGTAGCGCCCCCTTGTGGACACCAAGAAAACGAGCTGTACAAATAGTAGTTCACTTTTTTTTAAAGTTGCTTAACCCCAATTAGAGCTCTTAGAAAGCAAGACATCGTTTAGGGTAACTTGTTATCTTTAAGAATATACTTTTACCTTGTTCAGAGTCTCTTTTTGAGCTGCGATGTTTCCGATCTCGCCCAGCGCAGCCCGAGGTTTCAGTCCGGGCCCGGTCACCGAGCAGGCCTTCAGGCCGCCGAGCTGCTCGGTCCTGGTGGAAGCGAGACGGTTCTGCAGAAAAACAAAAATAAAAGATCAACCTAACATGTCCTAAAAGCAAAGCACGCTGGAATAAGATCAGTTTACTATGAGGGAGACATATAGCTGAACAGAAAGTTGTGAAATCCCCACCTTTTTAAATTTAAAAATAAAGAAAGTTAAATGCTTTTTAACTAAAGGAAAAATAAACTTAAGAAGAGGAAGAAAAAGCATAAAAAATACTTACTCTGGTCACTCGAAGAGCCATTGTAAAATGTGCGTGGTTGCAGGAAACAAGCGAAGAATAGAAATGCCAGGAGCGCTTGGCTTGGGTAGGAACTCAGCAGTGATGGTTTAAATCCTAGCTCGCTGCGATCTCATTGGCTGAACGATAGAGACACCGCGGATGTGATTGGTCGAGCGCAGCTGCTTTAAACGCGTTTCCTGGACAACCGGCGGTGACGTGCCACCTGCGGGTGTTTCCTTTTCCTGTTACGTGTAGTTAGAGAGAGCGATGAAAAGCTGCCTAATGTAGGTTTATTTGGAAATTATTTAGGGAAAATAGAAGGTTTTACTTCACTATCGCGATTATTCCAAAACATAGAAAGGTGGATCAAACCAGCAATGATATTTTCAGAATATATTTTTTAGAAATATAATAACATTTGGAATAATATTGAAGGACCAACAATGTTGATACTCATTATATAAATACAAGTATTTCAATTTCAATTATATTTAAAATATAATAAATATATTTGGACTTGTTTTAAAGAAATTGAATTTTTATTGATCTCACAGTGGAGAAATATGGAGAAAATGGTTGTTATTTAATTTGTTCTTTTAATTAAATTGTAATTAGGTTTGGTGTTAAAAATGCATAGGTAGGCTTTGCCTGTTTTTTCCATTGTGACTTTTTTATTTGCCATTATTGTTTGTTAATTTCTTATTAAATAAAGGATAGATAGATAGATAGATAGATAGATAGATAGATAGATAGATAGATAGATAGATAGATAGATAGATAGATAGATAGATAGATAGATAGATAGATAGATAGATAGATAGATAGATAGATAGATAGATAGATAGATAGATAGATAGATAGATAGATAGATAGATAGATAGATAGATAGATAGATAGATAGATAGATAGATAGATAGATAGTCAGTCTATCTTTCGGATAATGGGTAGGCTAATTTAGAGACACAGTGTTTATCTATAAAACAACGAAAATACACATTCAAAAGTAAATAAAAACATTAACTCATTTTGGAAAATTTGTGTTTGAATCCTTGCATTTATAGGACATAAGAGTAAAAATAAGTGCTAATAAACTAATTAATAACAGGTTTAAGAAAGTGCAGGAATGGACAATATTTAGTCATTAATCAATTGTTTCAGTTGTAGAAAATACAATATACAGAAAAAATAATAATAATGATGAGATATATTAGTAATTCCCCCTAAGACAAAAATAAATAAACTAAAAACTCAATCTTGGGCTCTGTAGACCTCAGCTGTTTTGGTTAAGGTTAAAGTTCATGACAGGGAAGTTTGAAAAAACAGTGTGTGATTTAAATGATTTGATCCAAAAAAAGGAAAATACCGAAAAAGTATGTTGAATCTACTCAGCTAGATTTGATAGTCCAGTCAAAGTCCGGCTCTAAACCTGATTGGCAGGAATTTAAAGTCATTGACAGGACTGGACTCTGGTGATAATTCCTGGTAAGTAAATAGTGAGCGATAAGCACCAGGCCCTCTGCACTGGCTCTGGTCCTGCAGCTCTTTGAGTGAAGAGATTCCTAAGAAGTAATCAGATTCACCTTAATCTAAACCCCTTGGGTTTGTAGCAGCAATAGCTGGTTCAATTTACCCTACAAGTCTGCAGCACAAAAAAAAATTTGACAGACATCTTTCCCAACTTGTTTTTTTTTTTCAAATCAACAAAACAACAACTGTGTGTTTTAACTGGTGAACATTCCTTTCTTTAATACTCATCATCAACATGAAACTGCAACCCAGAAAAGCAGCTTTGCTGTTTCGCAATGTGCTGAAATCTTTGGTGGCCATCCAATCGCATGCTCACAATTTCCGTGACGTCTACCGGAAGTAAAATGTTTTTTAGAACCAATAGAGATGTGCCTATTGTGAACGATTCAATTCAAATTGCTGGTTCACTTATATGAACAATCGGAGAATGATTTGGTCTATGTTTAGATAACAGGTTTCTTAAGGTTTTCTTACACTGAAAAAAAGCTAAATTTTAACATTTACTTAATCATATTTAGTTACTTCAGCACAATTTTTCATGTCCTACCCGGCTAACATGAAACAATTGTGTTAAAGAAACTAAATATGATTAAATATACGCCAAAAACATTTTGCCTTATTGTTTCAGTGTAAGGGTCGGCGTCTTGCACGTTTACCTGCTTGAGCACCTCAGAAATATAAACTATAGCAGACTGTCTTGATAATAATGGAAAATCTCAATTGCATCATTGTCAAACATGTTTAAAGGTATAGTGGAGGATTTTGGTGAATTTTTTAAAAGACCCACCCACTCCACTTAAAAAAAAAAGCACAACCCTGTACCCGCTCCAGAGCGGGAATGCATATTAAATGCATGTTAGAGTGTGCACGAGCCCATTTCTCCTCGTGTACGCTCTGTTTAAAAGTTGCTGTTAGCATCGATCATACAAGCTTACTTTCCAAAACAAGATTTGCAATTTTTCCACTATGTCCGACTCACCACTGGTTAGTGAAAATGGGGATGAGCACGAAGGACGGCCTTACATATCACCAGAATGATTGACAATCAGGAGGACCGCTTATTTTGAAGATCCACCCAGATCAGAATCAGAATCAGAAATACTTTAATAATCCCAGAGGGAAATTACTTTTGTTACATGCTCCAGATACAGTTTTATATATATATATATATATATATATATATATATATATATATATATATATATATATATATATATATATATATATATATATATATATATATATATATATATATATATATATATATATATATATACATATCCAACTACACAAGATAAAAATAAAAAAAGATAAAAAATACATACACATATAGCTCTTCTGTAAAGAACATCCTTCACTATACCTTTAACTTTATTCATTAGTCTTGCTGGATCCTTTTGGCTTGTTAATCAGAGGTATAATGACTTTTCCTAAAAATCTAAATAATTTCGGAACTGGGGCTGCTCAGTGGCGCAGTGAGTAGCACTGCTGCCTTGCAGCAAGAAGGTTCTGGGTTTTCTTTATGCATGGAGTTTGCATGTTCTCCCTGAGCATGCATGGGTTCTCTCTGGGTACTCCAGCTTCCTCCCCACAGTCCAAAAAACATGACTGTTAGGTTGATTGGTTTCTTTAGATTCTCCTTAGGTGTGAGTGTGTGTGTGAATGGTTGTTTGTCCTGTTTGTCTCTGTGTTGCCCTGCAATGGACTGGCGACCTGCCCAGGGTGTACCCCGCCTCTCGCACATTAACTGCTGGAGATAGGCACCAACACCCCTTGCGACCCTAATTGGGACGAGCGTGTCAGATAATGGATGGATGGATGGATTTCCTAACTGTTTTGGCAAAAAAAAAAACATAAATGCGGGAACTGTAACTATACAGTCATACTTTTTTTCCTCACAATGTTTTTATCTCTGCTACTTACTTTTATCAAGGCTGCACTTTAAAGATTTAAATAGTCTAGAGAGCTGAACTTAAAGACTTTTTTGTTTGTTTACACTTGTTACGGCTGCAGTGGGTCTCTGCTTTTTCTTTCAGGGTCCTGGAGGCAGAACTTCTGCAGGTGTTATGTTTTTTCCCTGATTGGTGCTCTGCTGCTTAAAAGCTGTCATGCTGCAGCAGTCAGGAGGCTTTTTTCCTCCTCTCCCTCTTCAGAACTCCAGTTGATTTGGTTTGGTTTGGACTTTATGACTGAGTTTTGTTAGGTTTGTTTTGCGTTTGTTTATTTCTAATTGGTTATGGTTTTGTATTAATCTGTTTTGGCTTCTTATTTCAGGTAATCCTTTTTTTCAGTTTTTACTTAATATAATTTAATACATTTCCTTTTTATTAACTCTGAAAATCCTTGTGTGGTCTCCATTAATGTTACCCCACCTAACAAGCCAGGTGGACGTAACACACTTGTGTGTACAAAATGACATAATGAAATCTAAGTCTAAAGAAATGCATTTTCAAGATCCAAATGCTTAAAGAACATATTTTTTTTATTAATATGTCACTGATATAATGTGATAAAGTAAAATGTAAATTATTTTTCAAGAGATTATGTTTCAACATTTCTTTTGTACGGGAGCCATAAAAGGGGAGAGGATGACTTCTTCAGGAGCCCTGGCCCCAGTTGGCCCCTGTCTACAAGGACCCATAGTGAGACAGAGACGATCACACAGGAGTCGTTTATGTTTTAAAAGGAAAAGTAACAGGGGAGTGATGGCCTATTGGGTAGTGTATCGCACTTGAGTCCTGGAGGTTTTGAGTTCAACTCCCATAGACTTCCACCCTGGGTCCCTGAGCAAGACCCTTAACCCCACTCTGCTCCCCGGGCGCTGCACAATGGCAGCCCACTGCTCCCCAAGGGGATGGGTTAAATGCAGAGGTACATTCTCACATTTTACAAATGTGAGATCAAGAAAGTTAAATTGTTATTATTGTTCAGTGCTCCAAATTCTTATTTCTGATAAAAGCAAAATTGTGAGTTTTGTTAGAAATCGCTTGTGTTTGATTGATTTATTTATTTATTTATTTTAAATAACACTGGTTTTACATTTTAGGTGATTCTTCAACAACAGTCAAATTTGTCCGTTGTCAAACCCTATAAAGGTGATTGCAAAGGTGTATAAATATTTTTGCTTGTTTTACTTCATCACAATATGTAGAAACATTAACGGATAGAGGCTCTAGCATTTCTTTCAATATCTCATGAAATATTAGCATGCTAATCTCTGCTTTAGAGTTGGAATAAAACTTTTTTTTTGCATGACTTGCACATTCAAAGGAAATATAAATTGTTTAGAAAAGACGACCATTAAACCTGCTCTTGGGTTGCAAAACTTTAACTTATGTCCTTGTTTTGCTTCCTTCCATGAAGCTAACGTTCCATCTGATGTGGTTTCATGGAGACAGGGTTTGGAAAAAGTTTTGTGGTAGGTGGTGGAAATGAGAGGTGTTTTTTTTTATATGAAAAATTAATAAAATACTAATATATATTCCAAGCCCATGATATTTTTCATTTAAAATTAGGACCTCCTGTGCCTTTGTCAATAAAGTTATTGTTAAGTCAAATTAAATATATATATATATTTATATTTTCATCCATCCATCACGCTGATCCCAAGTGCGGTCACGAGGGGTGCTGGTGCCTATCTCTAGCTGTCTACGGGTGATGGCGGGGTACACCCTGGACAGGTCGCCAATCCATAAGCCAATTACCTAACAGTCATGTTTTTGGACTTTGTGAGGAAGCCAGAGTACTTGGAAAGAACCCGTGTATGCTAAGGGAGAACATGCAAACCCCATGCTGAAAGACCCCGGGCCGGGAATTGAACCCAGAACCTGCTTGTTGCAAGGCAGCAGTGCTACCCACTGTTTTACTGAGCATATATATAAAAAAAAAACTCTTCTTCACCCATCGCGGGCGATCTCCCCCCCTTTTTCCTCCAAGCTCGGGTCCTCTACCAGAGGCCTGGGAAATTGAGGGTTCTGCGCAGTATTTTTGCTGTTCCTAGAACTGCTGTCTTCTGGACCAAGATGTTTGACGTATTTCCAGAGATCTGCTGTAACTTCTCCTCCAGTTTGGGGTTCTCTACCCCGAGGGCCCAATGACCACGGGCACCACTGATGCCTTGACCTTCCAGGTTTTCTCCAGCTCTTTTCTGAGCCCCTGGTTTGTCTTTAGTTTTTCATGTTCTTTTTTTCCTGATGTTGCAGTCACTTGGTGTTGCTCCATCAACCACAACGCTTTCCTCTGATTTTTTTTCACCACCACAATGTCCGGTTGGTTTTCCATTACCATGCGGTCCATCTGTATCTGGAATAGAGGCTGACACGGGAGTGGATTTTCACTCCTGTCCTGTCCCACTCCCACAGAAAAAAATGGTGTCCCGTCCCGATCCCGGGCCAGAGTAGAAATCTAAATCCTGTCCCATCCCACTCCTGGTGAAATTACTCCCACTCCCATCCCGCTCCCATTCAGAATGACTCCCGCTCCTGCACCACTCCCATTCTTGTTGTTTTTGAGCGCGGGTGAAAAACTCAGAGCGGAAGTTACTATTGGTTTGCTCCCGCTCCTGTCTGCTCCCGTTAATGTTTAATCCTGTACCGTCCCAATCCCGTGATCGTTACTAATATTGACTCCCATCCCACGGGAATCCCACGGGAATCCCGTGACCCGTGGGATTCCCGAAAAAATGTCAGTCTCTAATCTGGAAGTCCCACAGGATCTTGGCTTGATCGTTCTCTACCAACTTTTGAGGTGTTTCACACTCTGACCCTGGAGTTATATTTATTTATTTATATATATATATATATATATATATATATATATATATATATATATATATATATATATATATATATATATATATATGTAATTGAGCATAAATAAAAAAATGACAAATGTTTTCTATTTCTAATTGTGAAACTAATTATTTGATAGTTGGAGAATCCCCCATATATTGTAATTGGTTTTACTATAGGGTTGTTTGAAAGAACCGAATCTTTACACTGATACGAGCTAAATAATTCGGATCCCGAAAGAGAGTCTGAATTCCCATCAGTAGAAGGCCGACACGTAAAACAAAACAGATGCCACCACAGCGCGACAGACCGAGAGGTCGCCGATAACAAACAAGCCTCCGTCTCAAGCCGAGCAGAGTCCAAAACGAAGGAAAGAAAGGACCAAAGATTCACCTAGACGGCCCTAGTTAGTTAGTTAGTCAGACAGTTAGCTCCAGGATAGGTCTAGTTATTTTCTCGTGATCTTCAGCCCGACTAGAAAAGCAGTTCTTCAGTCACAAAGGGTAAGTTTACCCAGTCATGTTAAATATCTTGTGTTTTTTGCGTCTAAAGTTTAAGGCAATCCAGTACTGCAATAAAAGGAAAAAGAAAACAAATTTGCTTTAATACGCCAACAAAAGCCAAGCTAATGTAGAAAGTTGTTCAAGTAAAAAGCAGGTAAGGGAGCTTTGCTAGCACGTGTCGTCGGAAACTTTATCTTTCCAATTCTTTTGTCTTTCCAACTCCAAAAAATACGACTATTAAGTTCAAATGTTACCTTAGTATCAGAAATGACCTAAAGTGGGTTTAAAACAAGTATGATAGTTACAGTAATCTACATGTTTTAAGTTGGCTAGCTTAATCTGCTAACAGCAAAGCTGCTACTCTAGCTAAGTATGCTAACACTTAATCTACAAACATAAATCATGTACGCATGAGTGCAGTTTAAGTATATTGTATTTCCGTCAACTTTTTACGCGATTGTAACATGTTTAATCCTGAAAACAAGCGTGTCATTAATTTTTCTGGTATATTCTTTAAGCAGCGCAGTTAGCATCGGCCCTTAGCCTGCTAGCATGACTCAGTGGATTTGTAGATTTAAAACGGCTGTGGCCTTAGAAAACGACAAGGAAACACACAAAGAAAACAAATCATATTATTGATTTAGTTTTACAGCCCATGAATAATGTAATTATTTTATTCTTGCTTGATTCCGCTGTATGAACAGCTATACTCCTATGCTACTGCTCTAGAAAAGACTAGCTATTGATTCATGGAGTATATCATTAGTGGGGTTTGTCTCTGTTCTTCAGGTATTGGGTTTAAATAATCAATGCAATCGACCTTTTTTATTTGATGTAAGTCTATGATCACAATTTGATTTAATAAGTTCCATCAAAAACATAAGTTGATTGTAAATTAATAGATCAGTATTTAAATAAGAGATAACTCCATGTTGTTATGTGTTGTTTTCTGGTTTTATTTAAAAGAATGGTCAAATGGGTTATGGGATTTTTTTTCTTTTGTAGTCTTTACTATTGAATAAATGTCAGTCAAACCGAAAAATAACACACTAATTAGGTTAATCTGTTGTACAACTGGCCAGAAGAGCTTTTTAATCTCCTTTCAGGCTGCTGACAAGCAATGTGCAGCACAGCTCTAACACCTAATTTCCTGTATGATGGATGAAACTGCAACTTTTGGAACACAATGATGTTTGAATCAATGGAAATATGTGCAAAAAAATAAAAAATAAACCAGACGAATGACGACAAACGCATCATACCAGTCATGTTTACGTAATATTATTGTTGCACTTTCATATCTTCCTGTATTAAAAAAAAAAAATCCTCAGAATTGATGGCATTGTAGGTTTTGGTAAATATTTCTTTAAAATGATCACTTGCATAAATGGAAGTCAAATTAGAAATACAACTTTTATTACTGATAAAATGCAATAGAAGTAGTTGATAACTTTAGAATTTACAATTGTTTAATCAATCAAGAATATATATGCCTTTTTTTCCATCAAGATGCACAGATGGAGCACAGCAGGAAGGAAGCAAAGAGAGTAAAAGTTTTCCAAGTTAGTTTTTTATTTTGAAAAAAAGTCACCTCCTTTCCTGATGGGTTGGTTGGAGATTGAAACCTCACACTGATTCGTGTCAAACAGGACTTGATGTACAGCAGTGTACAAATACTAGCGATCTATATTTGGGTCGAGTAAAATGACAGCGAGGGTACACTAACATGTTACTGTTTATAGAACAACCGATAATATACGTCTAAGGACAGACTGAACATGACGATGGGGAAAAACATGGGATAGTCATGCCCATGAAATTAAAAATGAACTATTATTTGTCATGCTTGTCCATTATCTGGATGATCCCACCACTCTGAGAGCTTTAACATCTAAGCTAACAGGATCTAGATCAGGTTTGACCGTTTTAGGGCAGTGAGAAGCAATCTGGCTCTACAGATGTCCTGAAATATGATTACCTACTAAATATTGCGTCCAAGTAATCCATTGCTGATGTATATGTAGATGTTATAATGATGAGTTTTGACAGACCAACGTCTTGGAGACCCACTGAAATGCAGCATAAAGTCAATATGTAAATAAGCATCTAAATAAATCAGATCATCCAGATGTTTAGTTATTCTTTTGTCCAGAGTTTATTATCCTTTACTAGACATTAACCAATACAAGTTTTTGTTTAAGATTCTCATATTATTCACATTATTCTTAGTGATCTCTGATGAGTGCTTCTGATATATTGGTGCGGATTCTTGCTTCTTCTTTTTCTCCATTTACATTAAATAAATGATGCAGTGATAAAAAAATGTTTGTCAATTTAAGCAAAAATCTTTTAATAACAAAAAAAGCTAAATATCAATGAGGGATAACAAACGGAGGGAGGCAGGGCTTCTGAATGCAATGATCCTAAACTCTAGGTGCCCCTTTTGTTTACGAAAAAGTTTTTGAACTCCCTCAAGTCTCCAGACCTACTCTATCCTTTTCTACAGTTAAAGAAAATACACTTCAAAAACGCTTTAACTACCACCTATAATGTTAACCTGTTAAATCGACCGTTTAACAGAATTCAACATTGCTATCAATATATTAATACATAAATCTATCAAACTGGGTCATTTTTTTGAATTCATTTCTACAAATAAAGGAGTTGATTATCAGCAAAAAAGCAGGTTATTTAGAGTCCAAGAGTTTAAATGGTAAATTTAGTGGAAGATAAAACTGTGGTTAAGAAGTGTGCAAAGGAACCAAAGTTAGCTGCTGCCTTGATGGGATTAGTTTAAATGCTGAAAGAAATAAATTTTGATCAAAGTTACAAATGTATTAATATTTACTTGGATAGGACTCCTGTCATATTTAGATTGGTGAAGCATGTTGGTTTGCAAAGTTAGCTCTTGGAGCCCCTTTAAAGACATTTAGTAGTTTGACAAATCTTTCCTGGTTTAGTCTCTATAAGGAACATAGTAGCACGTTATGAGCTCTGTTTTGTCTTTAATTGGAAACATTTCCACAACAGTAGTCTGACACTAGTCTGAACAATGTTGTTAAAGCTTTTTTCTGGATTTAATCAAGGTAATACTAAGTAAGCATTCAACAATGAAGCCTAAACATGAAGCTGCTTCTATGAAAACGACTTTCCCTAGAAGGCACCTTTTGCCTTTTGAGGAAATCACGAGACGCACCCAGACACACCTGCATGTCTTTGGAAATAAATGTGCTTGAAGCTGTTTTGGATCATCTAACCTGCCAGTCTGACTTTTAGTTCAGTGTCGCATTACAGTCATATAAGAGGGGGCTGGGGGGGTAGAAGTCATAAACAGAGTAGCCTGTAGCTGTTAGGAGATCTGCAGTTTTATCCACATGAATCTGAACCTATATCAACATTTTGGGTACAGGACGGAGTGATGTTGTGCTCCTAAACTGAACATTATTAGTTTTTGTGCCTGTACTTCTAGTTTTATTGATTCTGCCTTGAGTTACACAACTGATTAAAGGGACTTTTTTGTTGCTGCTGTTTTTCAATCTGAGAGAACCACTGAGATGAGCTTTCTACTCCAACCTCTACCCTCCTTTCTTTCCCGGAGCTTTAGGAATCGGAATTTCGAAGACAAACTTCTGACATTTCTGTACAGACGTTTGGTTTTTCCCTGTAAAGGTCCGTCTCACTGACCAAAAAAAAGGCTCATTGGCAAGTCAATCTTTAAGCCCGTTTATCAATTGTTACACTAAACCCTATGCTGGATCAGATGGGTCCTGTAGGACTGTTGGCTTATAATAATTCTAATAAAATTTATTCTGCAGATTTTATTCCTTATTTAGATGTAATATATAGGATAAATCATGGTGCCTTTTTTTTTGTTTTTTGTTCATGTGTTTATCTGCACTAATCTGCCTGTAACGTCCACCTGCAGGTTTCTCTATTGCAGGACCTATTTTTTATTTTTTTTGTCCTCTGATGTTAAAGGAATAGTACACCCAAAACATGATAAGCTTTCATTTTCTACTCACCCCCATGCTGAACAACACTCTGGAGTACTTTTTTGATATCTCAAATGCATCTGGAGATCTGGGAGGCTTCTTGCTGTCTGCTGACATTCAAATAATGGAGGTCTATGGCGCCCGAGGCAGAAAGGTCCATAAAAGTCCACAAAAAACGTGTCAATATTCCTCCATACTGCTCGTCCAATGTATTCCAAGTGTCCTGAGTGGGTAGCGTCCATAATTTACTAGAAACGAAGTCATTTAGAATGTTGTTAGAGCATAAACAGTAGTGTATAGGATTTCCTAAAAGAGCGTTCACGAGTCTACGGAAACCGCGGCAGACCAAACCAGATGAAAGTGCGCATTCAGCGTCTGCTCTGCCGATAATGCAAGCGTAGAAGAAGAAATGTGCTGTTTACCTGTGCAAAGAAAGAAACAACGAAAGAAAAATGTCTGAGGACTTCAGTGTTAAGGAAGAGCATGAGTTCTTTGCCGAGCTGAATGCGCACTTTCATCTGGTTTGGTCTGCCGTGGTTTCGGTAGACTCGTGAACGCGCTTTTAGGAAATCCTATACACTACTGTTTATGCTCTAAAAACATTCTAAATGACTTCGTTTCGAGTAAATTCTGGACGCTACCCACTCAGGACACTTGGAATACATTGGACGAGCAGTATGGAGGAATATTGACACGTTTTTTGTGGACTTTTATGGACCTTTCTGCCTCGGGCGCCATAGACCTCCATTATTTGAATGTCAGCAGACAGCAAGAAGCCTCCCAGATCTCCAGATGCATTTGATATATCAAAAAAGTACTCCAGAGTGTTGTTCAGCATGGGGGTGAGTAGAAAATGAAGGCTAATCATGTTTTGGGTGTACTATTCCTTTAACCAAGCCATTTCATGCCTTTAAATTCATAGGGAAGACACTTTTAATGTCAAATAAATCTGGCTTAATCATGTATATAAATGTATTCTTTATCAGACCATATTGTTCTGAAATGTAGAAAAAATCAATAAAAAAAAATCATCCTGTCTTAAAATCTGTGTCGTTTGTTTCTTTATTTAATGCGTTAGTTATACGTCAGCCTGTACACCTAAATGTGGCCAATCATATATCATCTGTCAATCAAATAATTTGGGTCATAGCATCTTGATTCATATGTCGCAGCTAATATACGCAACGGTTGAAATAAGAAATCAGAATCCTTTCCTTTCCCATTGAGTTCCGTCCCAGTGTTCACGGGGATGGACGTCTGTGTCTTCGGCAGGCGTAGAGCTAACAGAACTGGCAGCGTTGCGAGGCAAGGGCTCAAACATGTACGGCTGGAAGCCTTCTACACCAAACCAAGCTTCTGTTGTTTTGCAAATCCATTAATCTGTGGATTATTTTTTCCAGTAATCAACTAATACTTGGATAGCCAAAGGTTCCTTAAAGATTTTTTACGAAATTAAACCAGGTGACACTAAAACTTTTCCACTTGAGGAGTTCTGGATGTCTACAGAAGGATATGTTTTTTATTATTTTTTTTTATCTTAAATTACAAATGTTTATTTTTTTTCAACCTTGGTATAATTACTGCTCTAAGTTGGTTTCTCTTACAGCTTAAGGCATGTTTTATATTCTTTATACTCCAGTTGTAACAAATTAACCAATTACTAAATGAGTTGACAATTTTTTCAATTATCCCCTAATCATGATTAATCCAATTAATTGTTATAGCCCTAGTTACTATATCTGTGTGGCGCTAAATGCAGCCATCACAAGATGCAGATACTTTGTCTTTAGAAAAAAGTGGGTTAAAACATAACTAGCAAAGAATGATTAGCATGTATCTGGAAACTCAACCCTCTGGTCCTGTGACGATGCATAAGCTTTCTGTGTTAAAGATGTCGTACGAGGCCACATAAATCACCAAAGCATGGACTTTTAGTAGCCACCACATGTGAATCCTGATGCGAACAGCTGGTTTCCTTTGACAGAAAACGTCAAACTGATCTGACTGGAAGATCTGGTTGAATTGTATCTGTAAAGATGACGCGCTGTGAGTTAGTGCTATAAAAATAAATGAAACTGAAGTTTTTTTCTCTCTCAATCTTTGTCAATCGGTCGTAAAACCTGTAAAACCAAGAAATGTTTGTTAAAAAACTTGGTTAAACACTGTTATCCTGCAGGTTAGTGGGGGTATTTCATTTTCATGTTGTTTTTTTTGCCTTTTTTATATTAAAGCTCACAGTTTGTCTGTTTCTCTCCAGGATATCAGTTGGTGGCAGACATTGCTATGGCCCAGGAGACCAATCAGAGCCCAGTCCCTACGCTCTGTGCCACAGGTTGTGGTTTCTATGGTAACCCTAGGACTAATGGCATGTGCTCTGTTTGCCACAAGGAACACCTGTCGAGACAGAACAATGGAGGAGTTAGTTCTTTGACCCCCATTGGTGAGACCCTCTGCTTCTCTTAAATTCTGTCTGACTCTAACTCTACCTCCTGACTGGTGTTTTTTTTTGTTGTGTTCCTCCATCAGGCAGTAGCTCCTCAGCTGAAGAGTCTGCCATCCAAAGTTTAGAGGATACTTTGAATAATGCCGCAGCTGCTGCAGTTGCTGCTGCTGAGGAGGCTGCTGCCTCTGAAGCTGCAGCCGCTGCTGCAGACGCCCTCAGGTGAGAAGCTCCGGCTCAGGTTCTGCCTCAAAGACGATTGTAAAAAGTTTGATTTTGGGTTTCATACATTTTCCTTAAGGATTTATTTTATGCTATAAAAAAAAACGTGGAGATGTTTTTTTTTTTTTTTTTTTTGTAGAAGGGATTTATTTCAGTAGAGAATTTTAAAAACTGGAAATTAGTCGTCATATGTTTCTTACACACTGAGAACTTGTTATAAAGCATTTATTAGTTTTCTTGTGCCTGCAGCTCTTTTAATAATTCTTCCTTCCCATCAGTTTTAAATTAAAGCTCACAAAACAAACTCCAAAACACAAATATGTCTTAAAATTCAATTAAAAACTAGTATGGAGCTAATTTTGTTCCATTATTGTTGAAAGCTAAATGGAAATTTGAAAGAAAAAACAAAATGCAATCCAGAATTAAAACAGATTAATTTTGAGAATAACGATGCTGTTGTTTTTCTCCCAACTATTGTTTTTTAAATATTTTTTTTCATTGTTATATAAAAGTTTTTTTTTATCATGTTTTATATTTGAGAATTTCAAATAATAAAAAAAGTTTAACTTTTTTCAGATTTTGTTCAGATCTTATTTTTTTCAAAATTCCCTTTTATAGATTGAGATTTAAGAGTTGCATTATTAAAAAAAAAAGTATTTTATTGCTTTTAACAACAACAAAGTAATTTGAACAAAATGTATTTAAAAAATGTTTTTTAATTTGAAAATAAAAAAAAATCTGAGAAAACAGCAAAGTTATTATTAAAAGCTTTTTGTGATTAAGAAGTTTTCCAATTTTTCATTATTACTTTTTTCGAATTTTCATTTCCAAAAGGTTTCTTTGCTTGCAAAAATCAATGGGGGAAAAAAAAAACTTGAAAGACCAAGAACTAATACACTTTCACTCTATAGATCTGTATATCTTTCTATTTATTTAATTATAAATAAATGTTATAATCGGTTTGGTGAGGATATATCTCTCCCACCAAATGGCCCAACTTATTTTAGTGAATCAAAGTGGAGTGGGTTAAAACAAAAAACAAAAACAACTTTTTCTATCCATTCTGTTAAAAGTATCTGATTAAAACAATGAAAGGCTGCATTAAAATCCTGTTTAATCTTCTTGATTTGTTCTCTTCACAGCGGGAGTTCAGCTGCCACCTCAGTAACACAACAGATGACTGAAATGAGGCTTTCGTCTGAGGAGAAATTAGCATCAGTGAGCAAACTAGAAGACACAGAAGCAGGTTGGTACCAAAAATGGACAAGCAGACTGATTTACATTCTGCGCGGCGGAGATATCAGCTTGCTTGCCTTCTGATTGTTAATAAATCTCTCTTAGGGAGGTGCGATCTTCTGCAGGGCTCAGTCGTACACATTTCAGGGTTTCCGCAGGTCCTTAAAAACCATTAAGTCATTTAAATCCAATTTCTTGAAATTAAAACCTTGAATGTCATTAAAAATCCCTAAATGTGACACATAAAAATTCACTAAAATGTAGGGAATTCTATTGGAAAAAGTTAATTCGATTTTCTTTATCATGCCATCTATAAAAAGTAAACAACTGTTACCTAACAAATGTGTTGGACGCCAACCATGCAGATGTTTTCTGAACTGCATGAAGATAAATCCTTTCTTGTCTTCTATCCACCTTACTCTTTGCAAAGTGCTGTTGTGTTCTGGACCATTTACTTTAACCACAATGTATCTGGGCCTTATTTACGGAAGAGGATTAGGGCCACTGGAAAAAAAAAAAAGGTTAGCTGATTTTTTTTTATTTCAGTTTAGTATGGGGGAAAAAGTCAGAATTCTGACTTTTTCTACTATACTAAACTGAAATAAAATTTAAAAATCAGTTAACTTTTTTTTTTCCAGTGGCCCTAATCCTCTTCCGCACTTATGTCTAATGTAAAAAAAAGATGATCAATATTTAGGTAAGATATTGCTGTCAGCAGGGAGGAAAGCAATATCAAGTAGATGGCACAGACCTAGGCCACCCAACCATACTCAGTGGATGGACATTGTGCAGGAAATATTCACTAGGGAAACAATGGCCTTTAATTTAAGATTGAAAAAAGCTTAATTTAAAGAAAAATTTAAATCTGTCTGACATTTGTAGCATTTGAAATTGAATGAATGGAAAGGTATTTCAGAAAATTTTGACAACAATAACGACTCAACCAAATACACATTCAATGTATTTTTGTAGCATGTGTTTTTGTTTCCACTGTTTTTTCTAAATATTTCCAGTAAAGTTCCATTTTATTTGTAGTCTTAAAATCTTCTTAAGGTACTTTAAAAAGCATTAAATTAGACTATAAAACCTGCATTTCTTTCTTTCTGTTCATTTGAATGAAAAGTTTTTAAATAACCATTGTATTTTTTGTATTTTATTATTTAAGAAACCAAACAGACTGGTCAGTGATAAATGTTTCCTCCTTTGTCTCAAGTTGTGAATCAGCCTCCCAGTGCCGTTTCTCTCCCCTCCACTGCTGGCAGTGAAGAAGCCGGAGGCCCCGAGGCCCCCAAACCTAAAAAGCATCGCTGCTTTATGTGTCGTAAAAAAGTTGGCCTTACAGGTACGATTAAAAACCTGGATTCATTCTGGTTTAGATATTTATATTCCTTCTCCTTCTAAATCTAAATTTTTATTGTATCTGCTTTATGTCCTTTGTTATTTTTTTAAGGCATTGTTCTTCTAAAACCTTCCAGGACGTTCTCAATTTATATAATCCATTTTCTAATTTCCTGGATGTTTTTGTAATTTTAAATACTATTTCATGCATAATATGCCTCATTGTGACTTTTATTTATTTTTTATTTTGCTGCTTCAAAAACAAAGAGGAAAAAAAAATTCTTGCCGAAAGATTTAAAGGATATAAAATGTCGTTTTCTTCTGTAGTTTTATTTGCCTTTGTTTTCTCCTCTGTGAGGAAGGGCAAGAAAACTGGAAAAAAATTGTCATCAGTTCAATTCAACTTTTTTTTTTTTCTTGTAAAAATATGGTTGGTAAGGATCACTGAAAGTATAAAATTTTATCCAACATCAGAATATGAGAATTAGCTTCTTTGAAGATTACTCAAAGTCAAAATGTTGGATTATTTTATGCTGGATTAGCTTTTTAAACTCACTTTAAATCCTATTTTATTTGCACATTCAGAAAACGGCTGCAGGTGACCTGCTGCAAACAGAGACCATAAGATTCAAAGCTAGAATAACAAAATAAAACAATAAAGGAGGCAAATAAAAGTCTGCTCTCAATAATATTATAAAGCAAGGGAATTTAAATACATTTCAAGAATGAAATGTGAATTTGAAATTTAGACTGAAATGCTATTTCCTGCATCTTGAGGTGAAGTGCAGCTAACTTTTTATCTTTGTTAAAACATTATTTTTGTCCTTATGATGGGAAGTACCGTATTTTCTCGACCATAAGGCGCACCGTACTAAAAGGCGCACTCTCAGTTATGTGTGCCATTTCTGTATTTAACACAGACATAAGGCGCACCGGACTATAGGGCGCGGGTTTTATATACAGGTACATGTCCTCTACTACGTATTTAAAAATAGAGCAGGAGCTAAACTGTATATGTTTGTGTTTTATTCATGTATTTATTACAAAGTATTAATCGAACCCATCGAAGTCATCATCCTCTGTTTCTGAATTAAACAGCTGCACTAAATCAGACATGCCAATTTCCCCTTCTTCTTCGCTGTCAGAGTCACTTTCCGTGCCGTGTGGCTCCTCGGAAATGATGCCGGCTTTTGCGAAAGCGTTCATTTGTTTCACCTTTTTTTTTCACATCGGCTGTGAGATGGGCACGCATGGAGTCTCAGATTAACAGCGATGGTGATGCGTGGAAAAAACCACCTGGTCTCCTTACATTCACCTCCCTCAGCCACTCTTTCATCATCTCCTCATCCATCCAGCCCTTTTCATTTGCCTTAATAACGACTCCAGCTGGAAAAGTCTCTTTAGGCAAAGTCTTTCTTTTAAAAATCACCACAGGCGGCAGCCAAAGCACAACAGTAAACCTCGCCTTTTCGTTCCCCGTTGTGTGTATCGCTACCGTGCTGGTCCCCTTCTTCTCCACCGTGTGATTCACTGGGATATCGAAAGTGAGCGGCACCTCGTCAATGTTGGTGATGTGGCTTGGCTGGATGCGTTTGTCGGCGATGTGTTCGCTGCAGTAGGAGTGGAAGCTCGCCAGCTTTTCATGCACCGTTTCATAAAACAAATTCATTAATCTTGAATTCTCTCGCGGCTGCTCGATTTCCATGTTCCCCTGCGTAGCTGATAGTCTTCAGTTTAAACTGTGTGATAGGCGTGTCTCTTTGCCATTTTTAGGGTTGTTAAGACAACAATGTTCTGCATAAAGCACATACCTGTTCTTTTATACACAATCCACACTTCCCCCTTTAACGTTCTCATGGCGGTCTCAACAACGTACGCCGTAACGACACACATAGGGCGCGCCACACATTTTTAGGGGGAAAAAAAAGACGTTTATATGCGCCTTATAGTCGTGAAAATACGCTATGTGTGCTTGACTAGGGGTATCCAGACGTGCTATACAGGATATAAAGATTTATGTACATGTGTACAGAAACGATGTATGTATTGACTATAGATGGTGTGTATATATAAACCATTTATGGCCCATACATTCATAGTATAGAGTAATTGTTGGAGGCTATAAAATAAATATTAAAGCTATATAAAGATTATATAGGAAAGTTAGGATATTGATTTTATATATTATAATACAGGCTTAATATTGACAGATAAAAGATTTACATATTATATAGAGCTCTAGTTGTGGAGTGCATGTAAGTGGTCCTGGAACTGTCAATGGTTTGTGTGTAAGAACAGTCCATATGTTACTGTAAAAATAAAAGCGAACGTATTTTGCTGGCAGTTTTTGACATTTTAAGTTAATTTAGGCGTTAATAAACAGTTTCAGGGGAGTGATGATGACGCTCTGCATCAGCAGCGGCGTCTGTCTCCCTGCCACCTCCCAGATCAGCTTATCTGATTGGTTGATGTGGCACGTCGAGCAGCAAAAATGTAATCTTTTAAACTCCAGCAGCTGCTGCTTGTGAAATATTGAACGTTTGAGCGAAGTTTCTAGGGGAAAATTAGGACGTGCAAAATCCGTTCCCAAAAACGGGGCGTAAAATTGGTCATTTTTTAGTAAAAGGCGTACAATTTATGCTAAAACCATATCTAATGGTGTAGGTGTTAGCATGGCCATGATGTGTTCTAGTTGTTTATTTTTTTTACTGTTTAAAGGTCGAGTAAACTTTTCATTCATGGTGTTGATGCAGCTCACATTTATGGAAGGTGTTTTTGATTTATTGTTTTTTTTCCCACACTTGTGTTTAAGTTAATTTATTTCAGTATATTTAAATTTTATTATGTATTTTTAGCTACATTTGCTTATTTTAGATGATTAAGTTCAGCTAGTGACAGAGTTTTAAGTCTAACTGTATCATCCATGTAAGGATAGTATTCTGTTAATTAAAAAATACATATTTATCATGTTGATCTGAAAAGAAAAGTTTTTTTTTCATGGTTTGTAATTAAATATCTTGGACTTCCTTGATATTCCAGGTTTTGGTTGCCGCTGCGGGAATCTATTCTGCGGGATTCACCGTTACTCCGACAAACACGACTGTCCCTACGACTACAAAGCCGACGCCGCTGCCAAGATCCGTAAAGAGAACCCCATGGTGGTGGCTGAGAAGATCCAGAGAATATGACTCTTGTTTGACTTTAAAAAATGGAGAGCTATCAGATTTCAGAACACGGACCTGAGCCCACCTTCTTCCTCCAGGATTTAGTTTTTCTTTTCTCCTTTTTGACAGGATTTCTTCCTCCTGTTCACACCGTCTGCCTATTTTTATTTTTTTGTGTGAGTTCGCCATCTCATTTGGAGCATTGTTTTAAACAAACACTATGTGTGCTGTTGGAGCTGGTTGAGGAGGACGCCGATGGAGTGGTTTCCCTTTAAAACGTCCTGCTGATTGCTTCCCGCTCCGGTTTATTCCCACTCGGATACAGCGTCAGGTCAGACTCTCGGCCTGTTTGTGCTTGCACTCTGCTGGCTTGAGTAGCAAAATAGAATTTTAATTCTTTCTTCATCAGTTCTTGACCTCCTTAAGAGGTCGTTTTCATCCCAGTGGATTCCTGGATCTCTCCTCTACTTTGCCATAAACTAAACCCACAACCTGGATTGCTGCCGGGAGACATTTTTTTCCCATAACGCCCAGTCATGTTGTGCTCCTCTGCTAACGTGGGGGTCGAACCGTCTACAGACGTCACACAAAGACTCTTCCCTTTGGGTTTTCCGGACGTTGCCGTTAAATAGTTTTCCTGAACACTAGTTTGTGTGTTCTAGCGTTTCGGAAAAGTTAATTTTTCAACGTTTCTTTAAGAAGTCACATTGTGGGGAGGTGATGTTTCATGTTTGATGGAGTAGCATAACCAGCTATTGGGTGAATCTTTTTTTTTTTTTTCTTGAGGAATCTGTGTGCGTAGTCGGAGCGTTTGGTTGAAAGTTTTAAGATACTTTTCTTCTTTCTGGGTCTTGCTGCTTTTTTTTTTTTTTACCCCTTTTTAGTTCCATGTTTGTACAAACCTTCGTATTTATATTCTGCAGTGTGTGTGTAATCTCCCAATATTGTATGATGTTAATAAATTATGTTCACAAATGCACAACAAGGAATATTTGGTCCTTTTTATGTTGCGTCTTCAGCGGCTAATATGTGCAAATATGTCAATCAGTTGATTATAAAAAAAAACTCATTATATAAATTCATTACACTGGTTTATATTTCAAGCATTTTAAATTAAAGGTTGTTGCTTCCACATTTTTTCATAGACCTGTTTTTTCCTTCCATTAATTTTTTTCATTTAGATATATGAAAGTAATTTTGGTAGCTATAAATATTCTTCATCCAAAATGTTTTTTGCTGTTTACATGATTGTAATATTTTCTTTGCGCAGATTAAGGACATTTTAAGACGGCTGTGAATAGTCTTGAATTCTGCAGATCACACCAATAGAAAAGAGGGAAGCCAATTATTGAAATTCTCCTGGGAGTGGATTCAACCTGCTGCTGGAGCACTTTTCTCTGGGCAAGAATCAGGATTTAATTCAGAATTTTTATATATATATATATATATATATATATATATATATTAGGGTTGTCACGATACTAAACTTTTCAACTCGATACCGATACTAAGGAAAATATTCGATACTCGATACCACAAGGATAAAATTTCAACAGAAATATTTTGATTAATAATTAAAATACAATAAACAATAAGAACAACATTTTGAGGTTGTTTGCTGTGCACAGTATTTAGCAAGCTTGATAAAAAAACGTACAAAATTAAAATTAAGTTTTCCTTACTTGGCTATGCTTTGCACACATAACAATGACACTAGCCAAACTGGTTAAGAAACAAAAATAATTCTCAGCAGCTGCAACTGTTACAAAAAAAGTCTGAAACTGAAAAGTGCGTAGAATTATTCAATCACAGTGTTCAGAAAGTGCATTGTCCTCTATTCTGCACTTTAGATGAATGACTGTTTAGGTGCGACTGGTACTCGATACTTTTGAAAATGAGTATTGTATCCGGATACAACATTTCAGTATCGATACTTTTTTGAGTATTGATACTTTTGACAACCCTAATATATATATATATATATATCCATATACCGGCCACTTTATTAGGTACACCTGTCCAACTGCTCGTTAACACTTAATTTCTAAGCAGCCTATCACATGGCGGCAACTCAGTGCATTTAGGCATGTAGACATGGTCAAGACAATCTCCTGCAGTTCAAACCGAGCATCAGTATGGGGAAGAAAGGTGATTTGAGTGACTTTGAACGTGGCATGATTGTTGGTGCCAGAAGGGCTGGTCTGAGTATTTCAGAAACTGCTGATCTACTGGGATTTTCACGCACAACCATCTCTAGGGTTTACAGAGAATGGTCCGAAAAAGAAAAAACATCCAGTGAGCGGCAGTTCTGTGGGCGGAAATGCCTTGTTGATGCAGAGGTCAGAGGAGAATGGCCAGACTGGTTCGAGCTGATAGAAGGGCAACAGTGACTCAAATAACCACCCGTTACAACCAAGGTGGGCAGAAGAGCATCTCTGAACGCACAGTACGTCGAACTTTGAGGCAGATGGGCTACAGCAGCAGAAGACCACACCTGGTGCCACTCCTTTCAGCTAAGAACAGGAAACTGAGGCTACAATTTGCACAAGCTCATCGAAATTGGACAATAGAAGATTGGAAAAACGTTGCCTGGTCTGATGAGTCTCTATTTCTGCTGCGACATTCGGATGGTAGGGTCAAAATTTGGCGTCTACAACATGAAAGCATGGATCCATACTGCCTTGTATCAACGGTTCAGGCTGGTGGTGGTGGTGTCATGGTGTGGGGAATATTTTCTTGGCACTCTTTGGGCCCCTTGGTACCAATTGAGCATCGTTGCAACGCCACAGCCTACCTGAGTATTGTTGCTGACCATGTCCATCCCTTTATGACCACAATGTACCCAACTTCTGATGGCTTCTTTGGGATGTGGTGGAACGGGAGATTCGCATCATGGATGTGCAGCCGACAAATCTGCGGCAACTGTGTGATGCCATCATGTCAATATGGACCAAACTCCCTGAGGAATGCTTCCAGCACCTTGTTGAATCTATGCCACGAAGAATTGAGGCAGTTCTGAAGGCAAAAGGGGGTCCAACCCGTTACTAGCATGGGGTACCTAATAAAGTGGCCTGTGAGTGTATATATATATATATATATATATATATATATATATATATATATATATATATATAAAAATTTTAACATTTCATATAAAATGATTTAACTTGGTTAATTTTAACAGATTTAGAATGATCTGAAATGCAGTCAGAAAAAAATCTTTTCACCATGAAATGCACCTGAAAGGAAAGCCACAGTCGGCCACTAGATGGCAGAAAAGTCACAAGGACGGTTTTGAAGACCAGCGTTAACTTTTTCAAAAATGAGGTAAATAGATAAGTGAAAACTCTTTAAAATGCTCTTTTTTTATTAAATATTTAATAAAAAAGGGGGGTTTATAATCTGCAAAACTTGAAAACAAATACATAATTCCTCCCTTCACACACATCATTTAAAGTCGTTACTATGAAATGTTGCCATTTTGTTCTGACTGATCTCTGTTGTCTACAGGTGCTGGTCATAAAATTAGAATATCATGAAAAAGTAGATTGATTTCAGTAATTCCATTTAAAAAGTGAAACTTGTATATTATATTCATACATTACATACAAACTCATATATTTCAGATGTTTATTTTGTTTAATTTTGATGATTACAAATGACAACAAATGAAAATCTCAAATTCATCATATCAGAAAATTAGAATATTACTGAAGACCAATAAAAACAAAGGATTTATAGAAATGTTGGCCAACTGAAAAGTATGAACATGAAAAGTATGAGCATGTACAGCACTCGGTATTTAGTTGGGCCTCCTTTGGCCTGTATTACTGCAGCAATGCGGCGTGGCATGGAGTCGATCAGTCTGTGGCACTGCTCAGGTGTTATGATAGCCCAGGTTGCTCTAATAGTGGCTTTTAGCTCTTCTGAATTGTTGGGTCTGGTGTATTGCATCTTCTTCTTCACAATACCCCATAGATTTTCTATGGGGTTAAGGTCAGGAGAGTTTGCTGGCCAATTAAGAACAGGGATACCATGGTCCTTCAACCAGGTACTGGTAGCTTTGGCACTGTGTGCAGGTGCCAAGTCCTGTTGGAAAATGAAATCTGCATCTCCAAAAAGTTGGTCAGCTGCAGGAAGCATGAAGTGCTCTAAAACTTCCTGGTATGTGGCTGCGTTGACCCTGGACCTCAGAAAACACAATGGACCAACACCAGCAGATGACATGGCACCCCAAACCATCACTGACTGTGGAAACTTTACACTGGACTTCAAGCAACGTGGATGAAGTGCCTCTCTTCTTTTCCTCCAGACTCTGGGACCTTGATTTCCAAAGGAAATGCAAAATTTACTTTCATCAGAGAACATGACTTTGGACCACTCACCAGCAGTCCAGTCCTGTTTCTCTTTAGCCCAGGCAAGACGCTTCTGACGCTGTCTGTGGTTCAAGAGTGGCTTGACACAAGGAATGCGACAGCAGAAACCCATGTCTTTCATACGTCTGTGTGTGGTGGTTCTTGAAGCATTCACTCCAGCTGCAGTCCACTCTTTGTGAATCTCCCCCACATTTTTGAATGGGTTTTGTTTCACAATCCTCTCCAGGGTGCGGTTATCTCTCTTGCTTGTACACTTTTTTCGACCACATCTTTTCCTTCCCTTCGCCTCTCTATTAATGTGCTTGGACACTGAGCTCTGTGAACAGCCAGCCTCTTTAGCGATGACCTTTTGTGTCTTGCCCTCCTTGTGCAAGGTGTCGATGGTCGTCTTTTGGACAACTGTCAAGTCAGCAGTCTTCCCCATGATTGTGTAGCCTATAGAACTAGACTGAAAGACAATTTAAAGGCTTTTGCAGGTGGTTTGAGTTAATTAGCTGATTAGAGTGTGGCACCAGGGGCCATCAATTTTGAACCTTTTCACAATATTCTAATTTTCTGATATGATGAATTTGAGATTTTCATTTGTTGTCATTTGTAATCATCAAAATTAAACAAAATAAACATCTGAAATATATGAGTTTGTATGTAATGTATGAATATAATATACAAGTTTCACTTTTTAAATGGAATTACTGAAATCAATCTACTTTTTCATGATATTCTAATTTTATGACCAGCACCTCTATAAATAAGAATTAAATATTTTCTTTGACCGTTACACCACCTTCTGTTAGATGAAGTCCAGCAGAGTTAATTAAAATGAATGCAGGATCAAAGCATGTTATCAGCCCTTTATTAGCCGATGCTATTATAATCGCCTTGTTAATTCGAGCATCACGTCTTACTTCTCACCTTCACATGGATTAAGGTGTCAAAAGGTCACCTTCCAGAACAGCCAACTGTGAAATTGAATCATTATGCAGGTGAAAGATGAGCTCTCTGGTCATTTTTAATGAGGCTTGGAGGCGTTTATTGCAGCTCTCAGGTCTCTCACCTTTCCTCTTTTATTTTCCTGCAAACAGCATGAAGACAGAAGGAACACATCCCGGCTGCACGGCCACGTGTGCCTATTTACAGCTGGCTAAATGACCCTCTCACACAGAAACCTAAACCTTCATTAAATCTTTAAGTCTTCTGCAGTTCTCCTGCGTGGTTCTCGGATAACAGGACAAGTGAGAGTGTTTCAAGGACTCCTTTAGATGGGAAACCACGGCCATTACACCTGGCTGAGTACAGCAGAACCTCTGAATGTTGCTTCCTTTATGAAGGCCGACACCAGATGTTCTGGGAATTATCCTCTTCCATCAAGAGTACATACACTTTTTACCTCTTCAGGTAACAAAGAAAATTCCCAGCAACACCTGTTGTCACCTGCAGCTGTCGCCATGGCGACAGGACCGTTAGATACCTGAGTTGGGTGCTGGCGGGGAGCCGAGGCTGAGCAGACGGACGGTGCAGAGAGGAGGAGAGGCTGCTTTCTTTGGTTTCTCCACCATGCCGAGAAGAGGCGCCGCTGCAGAGGAAGGTGAGCTGCACATTTTAACCTGAGCTCA